ACATTCCTGAAAGAGCAACTGTACCAGTGGGATTCACAAAGATTTACTGAAGTGAGGTCTGACTTATCAGAAGGAAGCTTCATGTATCCCACTGCTTTCAAAAATATCTGAGAATATGCCATAGTGTTGACTGTCAGAAAGCAATAGTTTCAACTGAACACCTCAAATGCTCTTTTAAAAGCTCTTTAAATTTAAAGGTGCATATAATTTCTTGTCACTTCAGGTATTCCTTGATACAGCAAGGAAAAGAGTAAGGATATAAACTAATTCAACCTTTGCACTTAGGGGGAGAATAGGAGCTGTGAGATGATTATCCTTGCTCCTAGGCAGGATGAGCTATTACAGTGTCTCTCTTGACACATGTTTAGAAAACCTTCCTAAAAGTTACGAAAATTCTGTGTGGTCTAAAAATTTCCCACTTATTAACCATTTTTACAAATAGACAGTGGCATCTAACATTTAACCAAAACCCTGAAGTATTTCTATTTTTTGTTTTGACAGTTGGAGCTAGGCAGAGAATCTAATCCCATTTTTATTTCTGCAGTGAGAGGAGTGTGCGCATTTTCTTCATTTCTGTCCTCGCACATCAGAATTTTAGTCAGCAGCCAGAATCACATTTCTGGAAGTAATACACCATGCAGATCAAAAGAGTTGGAGCCTACTCTGCAGGAAAAAAAATATTATTAGATATGAATATTTGTTCCACACCGAGAGTTCCTAGTATTGTTATATGAGGTTATACTTTTTTGCAACATAAAGGCAGAATTATTAATCCCAGAGCTGGTGTTTCTAAGAACATGTAGTGGTTAAAAAGATTGAGTTGGTTTCTGTTTTGTCATGAGTGAGTGGAAGATGCAGGCAATGAAACAAATATTTCATAGAATCTTGTGGAAAGCTGAGACAGGAGATGTGGGAATGGTAAAACTTTTTCTGGTGTAAGATCAGGCTCTGCACTTCCCTTCCTGAGCTTAGATACTCATCTCATGGGATAGTAGTGAGTATATTTTTTTCTTTGACAAAGAAAGAACAGTTGCATTGTCTAATATCTGTTCCAATATAAAAGAAATTAAACATATGAAGAAGCCTTTGGTTGCATTAAAAGAGCAAAATTAATTAATTTTGGTAAGGAGTTGGTTTTCTGTCAGACACAATGATGAGATCTGGGACCTTCTGCTTTCCTTTCTTGTACCAGTGAGAGTGTAAGAGAAATTATTTCCCACTGAAATTGAGTTAGAGAATAGAATTCATTACATTTTTTGTGTCATCCCACATATTTCTAAGTTTTAACATTAGATGAGTTTAGCTGTTAGTGTTTTGTTTTTGTCAGTTTTCAGATTAAGACAAGTATGAACACAATATTATACATTGGACTATTGATTGTTAAAGATAAGATGATTTTTTAGCTAAACTATTATTATCATAGTATAGAATTAATAATATCAATTATTATTCTTTATTTTTATCATATGTTATTGAGATGTGTGCCAAACTCCATGCAAATATGTTGCAAATGGTAGTTACCAATAAAAACAATCAATGGAGGAACCAGACTAGAGGAGTTCAGGAGCACCCTGCTTGGGTGCCTTGCTTGGCATGAGCTGGGCTCTGACAGATTCATGAAGCAAATAATTCCCAGTCTTCACACACATGAGGAAGCTCATCTCCATAAATACTTTTGGGGCCATATCTGGTGGGTGATCTAATTGTTTTCCTGTGAGGTGACGGCAGTTCAGTCCCCATGAAGAGCCAACTTTCCAGCACACCACAGATGTAAGCCTCCATTGTCTAATATCCCATGTATGATCATCAATTTTCCAAAGAGCACTGGGATCACACTTCACAAAAGCATTTTTCTTTCCTAGAGGAACTAGCAGTCAAAATTTAGGGTGATATTTATCCATCTACTGATGACAGACATCTTGGTTTATTTGGGTGCTTGCCAGAAAACAGAGAAGGAAGGAAGAGAATGCTAATTTTTTAGAGGGTCAGCAGATTCAGCTGCAGAGCTTGCAGATTTATGCTGGCTAGGCCAGTTGATTTGATAGGGATTGATATCCATCAAAGCTATTACCAAAAAAAAAAAAAAAATCCACAAAAGCAGACAAAGCCTGCTTGTGGCTTGCAAGGGAAATGGCTTGAATTCCTGTTTTGAACATTAGCACTGGACATCCAAAGATAACCCTTCAGAAATACTTGCAAAATTGAATGCTACTGCCCCAGAGAGGAACAGAAAATGCTTGAGTGTAGTAAAATCCAACTTTGTAGCAGTGACCTTATAGTTTCTTGGTTTCCATTACCTCCAAATCACCCAAAGCCTCATGTCCCTAGTGCTGTAACTTTTCTCTCATCTTTTTTCCCTGTTCTCCTGCTTTTCATTTCTTGTTGGGGTGAACAACTACGTGCAGATCTGACCTCTCAGAGAGAGAGGGAAGGAGTGGAAGAAGGTCCTTCTCAGGAAGGAGAGATTCCACTAGCACGGTTGCACTCACATTTGTGTCCTTAATCTCTCACTATTATGTGTGGGATTTCCCACTCAATAGCTTTTCTCTGGGCATTTTTTTCATAAGTTAAAAATTGGTTTCATAAACCAGTTCCTAGTTTGGTTATTTTGGAAGGCTTTCTATTAAGACAAAGTTAGTTTTCAAACTTTTAAATTATTTAAGTCAGTTAATTTTAATATAAAAGCCTTAATTTTTAATGTGCAAATATGTGCACATTTAATATGATCTGAGTTGTTGTCCTAGCTAAACATCTCAGTACTCCAAAATTAAAATTATTTAAAGCTTTTCCAGTTCTTCTTCTCCTGGAGAATAACAGTGATGGGGCTTATTTGAATCTGTGTCTCTTGAAGGTTTTTCCAGTAGGAAAAATCTGATTTTCAAAATGAAATATAATAATGATTAGCACAGATTCATCAACGCACTACATTGAAGTGATTTATTTAGATCTCTGTCTCATGTGAGCCTTCACAGTTGGCAAAATCAAATTTCAAGAGTCACATATAACAGTAAATTGGCATAGATTCATCAAGGTTGATGGGAGAACAGTAACATAAACTATTACTCTCGTGTTTGTGGGAAGAAAAGACAGGTCTCCATCACTGGAGACTGAAACGTATTATAATTACAGACAGCATGGGAAAAAGAGAGTACTTTATCTACAAAACTTCTTTTAGTTTGGCTGAAACAGATTTTAAAGAACTGCACTCTCTTCCAGCTTGAGTTATTATACTCCATATAAAAGGCCACAGGTTAAAATATAAGAGCCTATTTCAGCTTTAAATTCCAGGAATTTACAAATGTGTGCTGAGGGAGTGTGCTTAGGTCTCTGCAAATCCACAGGAGTCCAGGTGCCTTGTTGCATCCACACACAGAGACATTTCTTCTCAACAGTGTCTGTATGTTTCTTTTTGACAATGACTGTCAAAGTGCTGATAGCTAGCTAGGGTGTAGCTCTACTAAATGTATTTTTCAAGTGATACCTGTTTGAGCCATCAATAGGTAAGAACTCAGTGTGAAAAGCGTTCAATGCTGGCATCTTGGAACATAGCACCTCTGTCATGTATTTCTGGATTTAATTATTGTTTGCTATCTTTAAAATAAACCTTTAAAGTGTGTAAAATTATTGGAAAAAGTCTTTCTTTGATCTCATTAAAAGTATCAAACAATTTAATTTGAATTAATTTTCTGTCACTTAAGACATTTATATGACAAAAATAAAAGAAGGATCTGATCTAAAAATGGATACCAGAATTTTCTTAAACTGAGAGTTCCATTACAAGTTTTAAGTCCTCATCTCCATCCTCCAGCTAAGTTTTTTGCATCTTAGCTGATGATATTATTTATATCAGTATTAGAGAAAAAGTGTTAGAGAATAACTTTAACACTCTAACATATGTATTTATCTAAATAATAGCAGAGAATTACATATTTTTGGAAGAAAAAGAATGACAATGATTGCATGTGATAAAAGACCCCTTCACAGCAGAGGTCTCAATATGAAGGGTGATAGCTGTCAAATGGGATCATACCCAAACTTGTTAACTGCTCTGTTTCTGTGGTTTTTTTAGGGAATTTGTCAACTATGTTGCAGAAATCCTCTTTACTGTAGTCTGCCAATCACTCCGATCCATGACACAGCTGCCCACAAAGAGATAAATCTGTAAAATATCCCCATGAATATGTGAATTTGTCTCACATACCTGGATTAATTCTGAAGTCCTTGTCCTTGATTATATTAACTTGTCATTTTCACTAATTGTAATCCACGGAAACTGTAGGACATCAGCAACATTCCTATCAGCTGAAAATGCTAAACTATTTTTTCCTTTAAATCATTAACTTTTGAACAAATTAGAGTCATGCTGCTGGCTTTAATTTGTGGAAGCTGAAGCACCCAGATGTTTCATTTTCATGACATTTAGCATTTAATAACCTCACTGTTACTGGTACTAATTTTCTAAATGCCTTTTCGGCTTTTGTTTTGAAAATAAATACATGACAAAATGCTTTGGTACTTCAATTTTCTCTCCTAGTCTTTGGGGAAGATTCCAAAATAATTAGCTAAATGATCAATTAGTTTAAAAAAAAGTGAATTCAGAGCTGGATCCAAATGTCCCTATAATCTATAGGAGTCTACTAACTTCTATTACATCTGCCCAGAGATGATAAATCACTTGGAAAGGCATTAATAGGAAAAACACTCTTGACAATAAACTAAAAAGGAGGATGATTTGTATGATTTAAACAGTAAGGGGTTTAAAATATTAGAAAAATGGGTATTTTAGTTTTTATTTTTGACTTTTTTTACATTTTTTGTGAGTTTAAAAGAACTCCTAAAGTTAATTGACTCATCACTCCAGTTCCTTGTTCCAGTTTACTAATTCGATTTATCAGAGAACGTGTCGTCATTCCAGTTGAAACGTAGGTATGCTAGTGTACCTATGTAATCACTTCTATGTGTAAAACAGCAGAACACTGTATTGACCTGCACACTCAAAAAAAGCCATCAAGCAGTAGTGATTTATTTAGATTTTGTCAAGGCAGACTTATACACACTCACATCAAAGCAAAGGTGACTCAGCTGTTTTGGGGAAGGCTGGCTGCATGACTTTGGAAGGAAGATGCAGATTAGAGAGGCGCAGGGAAGGTTCTCATCCAATGGTCTTCATGTTGCCTTTTCTTCACTGAAATACTTCTTCTAAGCCCTAATTTAACAATGTGATACTCTAGACTTCTCCTTTTCATTATTTCTTTTCCAAAGGAAAAGAAACTCCACAGGAGTTGTGTTGCAAGATAAATGTGCATTTATATCTTTGTCATTCAGCTGGAAAGTATGCCTGGCGTGTAATGGTAGCAGCTTTATTTTCCCATTTCTTTGGCAGATTCAAAACCAAGAAGACCTCCATTTTGTAATACCTCTCTTTAGAATTAAAAAAGCAGAGGAATTAAATGTTTCTGTTACTCTTTACCTAACTAACATTTTTTAGTTTGGTGATTCAGTTTAAAAAAAAAATTGCTTTTTCTTCTAGGTGGATTTTAACATGGGATTAATAGAAGAACAAATTATTTCCTGAGCAAAATTTAGCACAAAAAATGAAAAAAATTAAAATTATGAAAGCAAATATCACACTTAACAGGAAGAAACTTCTTATTACCTCTGCTACTACCCAAATTCAGGAATTTGCAGTTTCAGCCATACTATCTAATGCAATTTTATTGGTGATTGAGACAAACCCCAAAGGCTTAAGACATGGGCATGCTTATTACCATTCGGTATTCTGAAAGAAAATTAATAGAACATTTCAGGTAAAATCAAATCTGAGAAGTTTGCCTGTTGGCAGAGTATCCTTTAGAATTCCAGAATGATAGAATGGTTAGGGTTGGAAGAGACCTTAAAGCTAATCTAGTTTCAACACTCCTTCCATGGGCAGGGATACCTTCCACTAGACCAGGTATCTTAAAGTCCTGCCCAACCTGGCCTTGAACACCTCCAGGGATGGAGAGTCCACAACCTCTCTGGGCAACCTGTTCCAGAGCCTCACCACCCTCACAGTAAAAACTTTCTCTCTAATATCCAAACTAAACCCAACCTCCTTCAGCTTAAAGCCATTCTCTCTGTCACTACATGCTGTTGTGAAATGTCCTTCTTTAGCTCTCTTGCAGGCTCCCTGTAGGTACTGGAAGACTGTTATTAGGTATCCCCGAAGCCTTCTCTTCTCCAGGCTGAACTGCCTCATCTCTCTCAGCCTATCTTCATAGGAGATGTGCTCCAGCCCTGTGCTCAACTTAATGACTCCTTTCTGGACTTGCTCCAACATGTCTACATCTTTCTTGTGCTCGGGTTCCCAGTCCTGAACACAGTACTCCAGCTGGGGTCTCACCAGAGCAGAGTACAGGGAGAGAATCAGCTCCTTCGATGTGCTGGCCACGCTGCTTTTGATGCAGCCCAGGATACAGACAGCTTTTTTCACTTCTAGCACACACTGCTGCGTCATGTCAAGTCTTTCATATACCAGCAATCCTAAGTCCTTCTCCCCAGCGCTAGTCTCTTTCCATTCTCTGCCCAGCCTAAAGTTGTTTTTGGGACTGTCCCAAACCAGGTGCAGGACCTCACACTTGGCATTGTTGAACTTCATTAGGATGACCTGGGCCCACCTCTCAAACCTGACAAGATCCCTCTGGGTGTTATTGCTTCCCTCCAGTGTGTTGACCACATCACACATCTGGGTGTCATCAGTGAACTCACTGAGGGTGCACTGAAACCCACTGTCCATGTCACCAATAAAGATGTTAAAAAGCACCAACCCCAACACTGACCCCTGGGGAACACCACTTGGCACTGCTTTCCATTTGGACATTGCACCACTGACTTCAACACTTTGAGCATGATCATCCAGCCAATTCTTTATCCACCCAGTGGCCCACTCATCAGATCCACGTCTCTCCATTCTAGAGACATAGATGTCACGTGGGACGGTGCCTTGGTTCAAGTCCAAGGAGATGATGCCTGTTGCCCTTCCCTCATCCACCACTGCCGTAACCCTGTGGTAGAAGGCCAGGAAGTTTGTCAGGCATGATTTGACTTTAGTGATGCCATGTTGGCCGTTACCAATCATCTCATTATTTAAATTGTGCCTTAGCAGAGTTTCCAGGAGGAGTTGCTCCATGATCTTGCCAGACCCTGGGGTGAGACTGACTGACCTGTCGTTCCCTGGTTCTTCCTTATATCCCTTTTTAAAAATGGGTATTATGTTTCCCCTTTTCCAGTCAGTGGGAGCTCCACCAAATTGCCATGTCTTATCAAATATGTTGGATAGTGGCATAGCCACTTCCTCAGCCAGTTCTTTCAGTGCCCATGGTTGTATCCTGTGAGGTCCCATGAACTTGTGCACCTTCAGGTTCCTTAAACGGTTTTGAACTCGGTCTTTTCCTGCAATGGGTGGAGAAGAAAAATGGAACAACTTAGGTTATTCTTAATACAGTGCAAGAATCAAGCCAAAGGGAACACAGGGGCCATTATTTGAGCAAGAATATATTTTTCCCTTTGAGAATAAGCAACTCAGGCAAAGAAAAAGGCTCAAAGTTGTAAAGAAATTTTATCTAGTGAACATTGGTAGAAGAGCTGTGTAATAAAAGTGGTATCTGGAAAGTGCAATTTTTACAATACTTTTCCCAAAGGAAGCATTACTGAATGAATTGCTAGGTTTTTGGACCAGGCAAAATAAAATGTAAAATTTTTACTAATCTCTATCATAATAAAAGACAAAACTGAAAACTGAAGAAAACTCTGCTTCAGTATGAGAAGTATTTACAACAATAACTAACCCAGTTCTTGAGATGTGAGGACTTCAGAACAAATGGTTGTGTAGAGTATGTACCACAAATGACATGCATACATACAAATCCATAAACCAAGAGAAAACCCAAAAAATGTTATGTTATTTCATTTTTTAATCAAATGACTAAGAATTCAGCACTGGGAGGAGTACTCTCTTTTGCCCATAGGTGAATAATATGACTCCTTATGTATTTGGCTAACTGGGAATTTCTGGAGAACTTCATTCAGGACAAATGGATAGTATTCAAGCTAGAGATCTAGTGACCTTTCCAGGTGTATAAATAATACATGTTTCATACTTTCAATTGTCTTTGTATTTGTTCCTTCTGGAGAACTAAAAGGTGGCAGAAATATCACCTTCTTTAAGATGAATATTTAGCAAATACTACTTTTATGTGTGGTTCCTGCCTAGGAAACCTCATAAAGCATTTTTCATTTCCTTTTATTTTGTCAATTACCAGCCCCTCACATCTTCACTTTCAACACTACTATTCATATAATACTTTTATTTTTTTTCTTGGCTTCCAAAATCTTCAGTGCCTGGAAAGAAGTGCTGCCAATGGTATGTAACTGAGGGCAGTGATATGCTTGACTGTCTTAAGTTCAAAGCAGCTTAAATGACCAGTATTCTCCCTAAGGGGTAAATCTCTCATTTCTTACTATACTGAGAGGTGGAAGAAAAGTTTTAAGATACGAAAGGGAAAAGTGTTTCAGGTGCTCTCCTGAGTGCCTGGCTCCTAGCAGATAAAGACATCTCTCTAAAACTCTGCTTATTGCACTTCTATTATGTTGTCCTAGAGTTTTTATCATGGAGAATTTGGCATCTAAACAAGACAACAATAAGCAGTCAGTCGCTGTGTATAAAAAATCTAGCTGTGAAGTCCTAGAGTTGGGGATTGGTGGGATAAATTTTTGTGGCAATGTACAATTTATATTTGTTCTGTCTTGTGTTCTAAATTGTGACCCCAAGCATGGGACAAATAGCATTTTGTTGAATTTTAGTAGGACATGTATAGGATCTGTGTAAGAACCAGCTGTGGTGGGTCAGCCTTGGTTAACAGCCAAACCTCTGCCCAGGTGCTCACTCCTGCCCTCACTTAGGGAGAGAAAATAGGAAGAAGAAGAATGAGGAAGCTCATGGGTTGAGCTAAACACTGGCAGACTATTACTGTTGTGACTAATTACTGTTGTGAACAAAGAAGACTTGGGGGAAATAAGCTCACAAAAATGTATGGTGTCATGATTTGGATAGTGGGAAACAGAAAGGAAAACATTAAATTAACATGTTTCGTCCCCTTTTCTCAAGCATAAAGTAACTCCTTTACTGTTAGGAATTTGTCTAATGTCCTGTCAGTAATGGTTGGCCCACAGTGGTTCCTCTACACTGCTTTGTCCTTCTCAGACTTTCAGCCTGCTCTAGCATGGATGTTTCACAGACTGTAGTGACATCTCTGCCCTGGTGTGGAGCAGCTCCTCTTCCTCCTCATCTTCTGATCTTGGTGCTCCACCTTCTGCTTCTCACTCTTTTTGTTCCTCCTCTCTTTCTCTGTGGCATTTCCAAACCTTCCTTACAAATGCTTTCCTGGAGGCATCACCATCAGGCTCAGCTGTGCCCTGAGCTGGGTGCCCTGGAGCCATCTGGAGCTGGCCGTGTCGAGCCCAGGTCTGCTCCTCACAGAGGTCACCCTGCAGCCCCCACCAGCACCTAGGCACCTGCACTGCTGTTCTCCAGCACAGTTAATCACTAAAGACTAAGTCTTCTTATCCAGACTTTCTGAGCAACCCCTCACTCACAGGTGCAATATAAATGAGCCACTGAGAAAAGTTCCATTTTGCTGGAAAATTTTGAAATGGAAGAAATTGGACTCCAGCTGTGACATAGGTAGAAGTGAAACTGAACAGGGGCTGAGGGCTGGGGATGGGGTCTGAAGACTGCACCAGGAAGAGTGAGCAGCTCTGGGTCAGGCAGCACTGTAAAACTTATCTCACCGGTCTTGCTGGAAATTAACCACTCCTGTTGACTTCACCAGGATTTCAGTACCTCAGAGAAAATTGCTCAGGCAAACTGCTGAGTGACACACCTCACATGGGATGGCCCACCAAACTCTGCAGGGCAAAGGACTCTTGGACCCCAGTGCAGAGCTGAGCAACTGCACCTGTATCACCTCCAGGCTGCAGTCTGCTTCCCACACCAGATCACCTGCCTTAACCATTGCTGATACAAGCAAACCATAGTTCCTGTGGGGTGTGCGAGTTGGGAATCTCACCATTTGTTGCACTCAGTTTCTTGGTGGCCATTTTCTTAATTGTCTGAACTATAAACTTGTCATTGGAGATCACAGCTTTGTCTGTACTGGTTGTGCAGTTGTATTATATATAAATAAGCACTTTGATGAACATAAATTATTTGGTGTAGATAAAGTCCTACCTTGAATGACTGCAGCAACAATTTAGATTTCCATGTCAGAGTGAAATCAATAAAGTGTGTAAAAAAGCTGGCTAAGTATTGCTAAAAGCCCATTGGGAGTAAATACAATGCTGGATTAGTAATTTTTCCAGCCTAATTGCATCTTTATAATCAGAAGATTTCTAAAGCTTGCGTAGGTAAACCCTTGTCCTGCACTTTTGAATTCACAGAACAACATACTACAGCCACAGAGCAGGGTTTATATTTTTTATTTTCCAAAATGTATAACAATCAGCATAAGTTTGTGCAATATTTCAGGCTAATTTGAGTAAAACCATGCAAACCAGGAATTTTTTTAAGTTTCCAGGTGAATTTAAGAGAAAAACACTTGCCCCTCTGAGAGTGGACCTGTTTTTTCTGTTTTTCCAGGCAGTGACTTAGATTAGGAAACAAAATTAAATTACTGATTTTACATCACCTATGCAATTATATTTACTGTTTATATTTCCAAAGCTTTCAGATATCTAACATTGAAACATTCCCAATTGAAACATTATGGAAATGAGATCCAGAACAAATTCTTGTTATCTCCCATCTCAGATGGGAAGGAAGGATTAAGGCTAACTATATTGAGAAAAAAATTCCAAAAGAAGATGAAAAAAAAAAAAAAGGCTTATAGTATATAACTGTTTTTTCCTGATTATTTGCATTAGATAAAATCTTGAATTAACTGATTTTTCAGAAAGATAAAACCTCATTTTAAGACAGTTTTCACAGTAAAAACCTAGGGCAATAACATCCATCATAATATACAAAATCACAAATTGGGAAAGAAAAAGTTACTGGAAATATAAAAAGAGACACCAAAAGAACTTTGAAGATCATAATTCTACCATTAAAGATTCTCTCTGGGCAGTGCTATCTCCAGAGCAGATCTCAGGGTCTCTGGGGACATTCACCATGAACACTCATATCTGTGGTATGATTCTACATGGGAATAGCTACTTCTACAGCAGGACCTGTTCCTGCCTCTTTCTGGTCACCACTGCCTAAACTGCTTGTTGCCATGACAGTTTTTGACCTGTGCAATATCAGAGCACATTAAGACCAAGGATCCAGTTCACATAAGGGCATGACCAAGTAATCAGAGAATACCAACTGGACCCAGAAGTATAACAGCAAAGCTTTTTGAATTGCAGTAATCTGTTAAAGAATCAGTTGTCCAAAACTCACATGAGTCAATTATTTGATTAAAGAAAGATGGATGGGCAGGGAGAGTGTAAGAGGGAGGAGGCCAATTCTATCTTGGTCTATACTAAAAATAAAAAAGGGATATACAGTTTTTGGCGTGTTCAGACTCTACAAGTAGTGGGTTTGCACAAAAAGGCTCATGTTGCTTCAGCAGGCAACTACATAACTAAGGTCACTGCTGTATATTTTCCAGATTAAATGCAAAAAAATATAGTAAGAAAATGCAAACAAATAGCAGCTTGCAAAAATGCATTATTTACATTGCCAGACGTAGACTGGTGAGATGCCAGTTTTCATTCATGTGCCTTTAAATGGATCAAATGTCATCTTGTCTTTTTTTTAAGGCAACAAATTCTTTATTTCTTCATAAATGTGCAAAAGAAGGTTGAGGACAAGCACATCTACTTTCAGTTCTACTGTAAGCCATTTACAGTGAGAAAGTTCTTTCATTTCATCTAGTAAAATGAGATACCTAGATTATTTAATGTGTTTATGCTTCATTTTTTTTTCTGATTCTTTGTTTGTTTGGGTTTAGCTTTGGTTTTTGTTTTTGTTCATTGATCTGAGATAGCATCAAATTCACATAATTACTGCAAATTTGGGTTGCTTTAGTTTTGTGAATGGCATCTCACATCCTAGCTTTTCATCTGGCTTAAGCTAATAGCAAATTGTTGGCTGGTATATTGTCCATTTACATGGCTTTTGCTGCAAAACAATCTGATTTAGCTGCAGAAGAAAAGTGGAAGCACTATAATTACTTCATTTGTTTCTTCGGACCTTCATGTTGGTAAAACAGTGGTTTTCCTAACCTTTGCCATGTGGTTTCACTTTCTCTTCTCACTTAGGGCCTTAGGAAGAGAAGAGCTTGTATTTCACCAACAGGCAGGGCAAACAGTGCATTTAAGTTTCAGATTAAATAGAAATATTCATCATT